CTGAGGGAAAACACCAGAAAACTCTTCAATAGGGCTAAACTTAAAAGTGGGAAATTGCATGCAGACCCAACGAATATAATAAAAAGATTAGACAAGCTAAGAGAGCATTGTGGAGGAAGCTATGCGAGGAATGCTTTGCCTCGCAGTGTAAGACTACATAAAATGCTATCGAATGATAAACCTAGTCAGATAAGGCTTGTTAAAAATCCTAATGGTAACTTCACCATCAATGTAACAGAAGCATTGGAGCTACTAGCGTCAACACATTTTCCAGGGTCACATAAGATTTCCGCCATGAACATATACAGAGCCCTAATAATGAGGACTAGTGTAGGGATGCTCAGATGACAAAGCCAAACCTGATGCAGTGAGCTGTTGACTCCTTTAAACCATATGAAACAAGCGGTGCGTACAGAATAATTCCCATTCAACTACAGAGGGGTATCGATATCCTTCTTCCTAATCTGGTGAAAATTTTCAGAGCAAATTTTGCATGGATATATATTACAGAACAATGGATAATTTTCAAAGTTCTATTTAAACATAAGCCTGGTAGAAAGGACTAGGCTTTACTCTTTAGTGACTTTCCTTTAGAACTATAAGCCTATCCTTCTTTCTTCTCCAGACAATAGAAAAGGTTATAGATAAATAATGTATTAGGGATGTCCAGGCCCACGTTTTCACAGAATACCAGCGTAAAATAGCAGCTGTGTTTCGCATGGAGAATGTAGAGAACTGGAGACCATTTTTGCTGGAATCGAGGTATTCCATCTTAGTCCTCAGGGGGTGACAACGCATCTGCATTTGACTCTTAATTAAAGATAAATGTGGATGTCTAGCTACAGCATTCACTTACTATCAGGTGGACTGGGTGCTTGTTTGTCACCCAAAGCTATAAGAAACCATCTAAACGCACTGGGGTGTAAAAATAGGGTCATTTTGAGGTGGGATCTGGGTCTTGCGGGTATTATAGGCAAAGAACTTACCAACAAGCTCGTAAGGAAATGCTCAAAAAGTACATAATATAGACTAGAGCCATTATGTTAAAGCTCAAACATCTTAAGCTCATCTACTTCAGAACACTTAAGATCTGACCTGATAAACCAGGCTTAAATTATTTTGAAACCGTAATCCGGGCTTATGATCGTAAGTTCGTTTCAGATGCCCTGGGATTAAGCAAGAATAAACTGCATATTTTGGCAAGAGCCTGACAGGACACCGTTGTCTGAAAAAGGATATGTCCACCTTGGGACTAAGCAACTCAAGGATGTCTCGATTCTGTTCCTTAACGGAAGATACACCTCTTCACATACTAATTGTGGACCCTTAATGTGCAAACTTATCTAGGAAACTATATTCTTAGTCCAGAAGAAGTGATATTAGTCACAGCTAAGCCACATTCAATTCATTGAAGTCATAAGGCGTATCAGTGAACGAAAGCCCTAGCAACGGTCATAATGGATCTTATAGGTTGCAGTGATACTGGTCTATCTAGACCTACATAGCTGCTCACACAGAAAAAAAGCGTGCCGATTATGTCAAAATATTATATAAGAGTTTTTAGTAAAACCTTAGCCAATACTATCTTAAAACTTTCTTAGAGCTTTTCACGAATAAAGTATCTTCATATTTTATATAAACATTTGCAGCTATTTAAATTTTCTACTTCTTACGTTTTAAAATCACCGCGTGAAACGCTTTTAATGTGTTAAATTTGAAAATTTATTTTAGCAATTTCATGATGAGTAAACAGACACGCCTGCTCGCGCAATATTGCATGAGCACTTTCGCATTACATTGTATACTCCATCCACAATGTAATGCGAAAGTGAATTTTTTATTTATGGCAATAACGTTAATATTAATTATGAAATTTGGAGAACGTAATGAGACTACGGTAAAAACACCTGTTATAGTGGATGTGAGTGGTTGGATAATCCCCTTCTTTCCCTAAACTCGTTTTCACTTTAAAATCTTATACATTTTATTACAAAAAAAAAATTCAAGTTACTGTTTAAACCTTTTCGAATCCAGTAGGCAAATTAAATTAATTTTTAAAACCGTATTACTTTATGTAATGTTTTAAGTCGTTCGATTCGTTATACGTAATACATCAATGTGTCTATAAAATAATAATTGTCTCTAACTACCTTTTAGTGTGTTTAACCAGTACCTGTTATCAATATCTGTGATAACACGTACTGGTTACACATGTGAGACATGGATCTGAGGCGTAGTACTCAACTACTGACCTTATAAGGAAGCTCAAGGTTGCTCAATAGGCTGCGGAAAGGGCTACGCTCGGAATTTCTCTGCGTGATAGAATTCGTAATAAAGATATGCGTAGTAGAACCAGGATTACCGACAACGCCTATCGGATTAAAAAGCGGAAATGGCAATTTCACGGCCATATAGCTTGAAGATCCGCCATCCGATGGAAACAAAAGATTTTAGGGTAGCAGACTGATATCGGTAAGCAGAGTTTAAAGCAGTCTCCCACTAGATAGAGTGACAACCTAGTTAGAAAATGCGGAAGCCAATGGACGCAAGTTCAGGAGCTTGTTTGTGGCAAATGTCAGATGGAGCCGGTCAATGACCTAACTTCGGAAGGAATGTTATGAGCAATGTACTTGTGAAGAGCTGTAATAACAATAATAACATAACACCTACATAATTACAACAAACTTTTCGAAATTAATTGATAGAAAAATTATACTTTAAGTATTTAAAGAGCTTTTTAGGTCATTATCAAAATATGTCTTTTTTCTAAAAAGAAACTATCTTTCTCTCTTACTGGATACATGAAATAATATTACACCTACATGGAAAGTTGCTCAGAGTCAAATGTAACAACTCGCTCTAGGCAAGAGTTTTTTCTCTACCCGTATTATAAAGAAGTGGATTAGACACTTCTTGCGTGCGAAGGTTATTACCAACCATTTTATTATATTAAATTCCATCTTGTTAACCTTGCCTCAACGAATCAAGATGCCTTTGTAGGGCGACACAATCAGCCTCCGATTTAATTTCACAATATAAGTTTAAATCATCTGTAAATAACAGATATTTAACTGTACTGAATGCCGAAGATAGGTCGTTGACCATTATCAGGAAAAAGAGTCGTCCCAATATTGAGCCTTAATGTATGACCTGTAATTAATTTAAATTTAAAGTTAAAGTTACAGCCTATATACGTCCCACTGCTGGACACAGGCTTCCTTACATTTCTGAGAGTGTTTTAGGGCAAGGAAATCCGCCGCGCTGCCCCAATGCGTGTTGGCGAACCTCAGATGTCTTCGAAATATTTTTTTTATGATATGCAGGTTTGCGGGTTTCCTCACGGTGTTTTCCTTGACCGCCGAGCACGTGATAAATCAGCACGTAAAACTGCAATTAATTATTTCATGCATGCGGGGATCGAACTCGGATCGCTCGCGTACTGCTAAATTTACAGCTAACGCTTAGCCCCCGAACTACCACGGCTTCATAAAGAATATAGGGTAGTACCTCGTTACCAGTAAGAAAGGTCTATTTGTTGTCAAAAGGACAAGATTATGGAGTTAATATTTAAATTATGTAATTTTTTATTCTGAAAGTGTATGCTGTTGGCCCTGTAAACTTTACAACTTCATTGAAATAGACTCGTAAACGAGGACCTACGCTATCAAGTGCAACGATGCGAAGTCCCGAGGCTCCTGACCCCTACTTTTGGAGTGAGGCTCCTCGAGCTAGACGAGGGGAGGGGGGGGCTCTATGTGATTCAATGGCCCCTCAGGAGAAGGTACGGACCTAAGGTTGACCCACTATCGCAATGTGGGAAAACCGGTCGAGAAACTAAAAACGCACTATATCACGTGTATTGAACCTGGTGTACGGGGTGTGTCTGTGACATCAAAATAGTTATATAGTAGTCAGTAGATGGCGATTACTCTTATTTTATAAATTACTCGCTTGCCCCAACCTCTTAGAGGTGTCATTCCTGTGCATTATCATCTTTTATGACTTTATCCCAAAAAGTCAATATATCACAACTAACCTTATATAATTGATTTACGCATATATTACAGGTACATGAATATCTTGCTCTAAATTTCTTCAAATGGCAGTGAAAAACTTATCGAAGCCCATCTCCTAGTCATAACTAACTTCATACGAAGAAAGCTAATGCGTTGTCACCTCTGAGGACTTAGATGGAATACCCCGAAACTGAACATTTCAGACCTGAACTCAGCAGTACGAGTAATGCTATTAGGCAGTAGAAAATTTTAAGAGGGTCTGCACCTACCCTGATGAAGTCCTATATAGAAAAGCAGTTTGGTAAGATCTCCTTTTCTAAAAGAAATGAATTGGATGATTGAATTCGTTTCATACTAAATAGTTTTAGTGATTATCACTTTAAATTTTAATTCAAAATTTATTATAAAGTGTTTCTTTTTTTCAATGTGGAGAGTCAGTGAAATGAAATAACCAGTGAAAATTACTAATAACACCGATTAATGAGAGCGTCAATTATACCGTGCACCGAGCGCGTGACGTAATAACTAGGTTACAGCGGAACAGTGGAGTACGACAACTCTGACACTCGGGCCGACGATAGCAAAAGTGTCTGCCGACCCTGGATTGCTTCCCCTCCCCGCTGCCGGCACTTGGTGGGGCTGCCACTTACAGCTCCCTTCACCTTCGCGCTGTGTGCAGCCGCACGACCAATGACCGCCCGCCCCGAGCCGGCGAAAGGTTTTATATACAAGTGGGATTCGCACTGCCAAATTGCCATAAGTCATAATATAGGGTAGTCGGGCGGTTCAGTCGTTCGTCGTGCACTCGCTTAGCGTGCACCGGCTGTCGTTCTGTATTGTTAGTGAGTGCGTTTACGCGCGTGTAAGCACGCAAAACTATACGGATTAAACGCGTCTCGTTAACCCGTGTCGCCGAGCAAATGCGCGGTATTTCAGTGCCTTCATAGCAAAATACGACAGAGGCTACGAACTTTGTGTGACAACATGGGGTGCAGTGCGAGATACTGTTTACTGGCTCTATCCTTGTGCCTGGTGACTGAACAGGCCTTAGGTGTTAGAGTAATGCCCAAACGAAAGAAAGGTAAACAATTTACTTATTTATATTTAAAAAATTATGCTATAATTGTAATTAAAATAACATGATAGGCACGTAAAAACATTATAGAATCTTATAAATTACTCAAATTATATCACATTAACATATTTGCGACCAAATCACGTAAATAAATAATTGGGGCGCTTCCGTTCTTACAGAATAGTAATAAAATGGCCAAGTGCGTGACAGGACACGATTAACGTATGATTCCGGATAATCTAAAATATTTTCTAAAGTTTAAATGCAACTATTCTGTAAGAGCAATATTTAAAAATTTTATTAAAATTTCAATTGAGTATTTAACCTCGTTTGAACCATATTGAAATGATATGAAATAACAAATTTTAAACTCCGAATTGGTAAAAGTATTACATCGAACCGCACTTTTAAATATCTATTTAATTATCTCCTCAGCATCCCCTATTTATATGTAGGGGAAATGCATCAGATTTTTCGCATTAAGTTCTTGTCAAAATACTTTATCGATGGAATATAATAACACTTAATATTTATCTAATTTGATCAAAACTTATCAAACTATGATGCTGTGACGTTTAGGACGTATAAACAAAACACAAATAACAGGGGGTTCATTGTATGAAAGCACAATCCTTAAAACTACAAAATACACATACAAATATTTAACTTTGCTCTGGCGATATTCCAATTAATAATTTTAAAAATACATCATATTAGAATATACAAAAATCGGTAGTTTAAAACTAAAGTAAAAAAACTACATAACGACTTATTTCTATTTCTCGTAAAAGACGACAAAACATTTACAATGTCTTAAGCACTCTGTTAAAAAGTACCTATGCTGTGTTCTTACAACACTATTGGATGTTATTAATTTAAAATTATTAAGAGAGCTTGTATTCCGCTACAAAAAATGGCATAAACAGCAAGTTCCAGCTGTATGTGTATATATTTTAATTCAATTTGTCCAAAATTAAAAATTTGATTAAAGATAGCTCGACCGGGGAAGAACCATGCTCTCACGGAATACCAGCGTAAAATAGCTACATGATACTGCTGTGTTCCTTGTGGTAGGTGGAGAGAACCGGTAACATTTACTAGTATTGAGCCATTCTATCTTAGCCGTGAGAGGTGACAACGCATCTGAATTATGATTCTTAATTGAGGGTAGATGTAGAAGTCTATGGGCCACTCATCAACTTACCATCAGGTGGACTGTGTGCTTATTTGTCACCCTTATTATAAATATAAAAAAGAAAAAAAGCAGATGTATCAACGTATTCAACTGTGCTGCTTATTTTGTGTCTGAAGTAAAAGATACATTCGTTTGTAACATTAACTACCATTCATAAGTAACGCAAGATTCACTGTTTTAATAATTTGCTATTGAAAATTATTTCTTCATTAATTATTACTAAGTAAAACAACGTTCCCTTGATAAGGGGTCATCTAATCAAGGTTAGAATTGTAATTTTCATTCAAAGGTTTTATTATATATTTTTTTAGTTAAATAAATATTTTAAAATATTAAAAATTATTAATAATTAAAAATAATTTTTAATCTATTATTATTATTTAAAATTCTTTTTTTTTCGGTATTAAAATTGTGGAACATTTTTAACTTTCCTTTCCGTAGTTGCTTCTATAATTCTTAAAAGGATATCCAAATGTATGTGTACGTTTTTGTTCGCAAACATTTTTCGTCTCGCATAATATCCCGAGAAGAAATAATGATATCGCCTTGAAATCAATTTCATTCGACGCTAAATTGCTCATTGGATATAATAATATTTAATGTATAAGCTGATTTCTAGAAATATATTAATATGAACGAATGTCTGATAAACTTTAATTAAAATTGATTGTGTAGAAAAAAGCATGCAATTATTAGTTACCAAATGGAAAATTTATTGTGAGGGCAGGCTGAATCGGATGCGTAAGCATTTTTTCTTTCTTACTTATATTTGTCCATGCTGTTCACAGGTTTCCTCTCATTTTTGAGGGGGTTGTGAAGGGATTAAAATATTGCTCCAGTATGTTTTAAGATAATATGAACTTAAAATGCATGACTAGCAATTTAAAGTAAATGCTTTTGTTCAGAAAACGGAATTATAACATAAAAGTTTACAATATTTAAAAAAAACTCGAACTAAAATTTATCTGCACGCTGCTGACTGCGTTTCCTCACTGAATATAACCATTAAAAAACAGCACTCCTGTCACCAGCGCCAACGATAAGCCGCGATACAGTTCTTTTTGAAGGGCCATTCGGATAACATCATTCAGAGAACCGTGACGGCAAACCCTACCAACACTTTTGTTGCATGAAAGTTCGTGGAACCCAAACTCACAGACAACCACAAGACCACTGATGAGGATCACAGATCGCCAGCCCAAATGCCCTTCTTAAAATGATAGGTGACAGAGTGAATTGTCCCTATCTGCAACACTGTTGTAGATTGCATGTGCCTAGCAGCTAACTGACTGCTGGATATATACATTACACAGCATTTAGTAAAAATTTATAGTTTAAATGTATGTATCCCATCATATTTTATTAGAGTATTTAAGTTTTAAATTTTTATTTTTAGTAATTATAATTAAAAAATGTAATATAATAAATGAGTCCTTGGATACTTGAAATTAAATAATAATAATAATAATAATAATAATATAAATTCCGATTTCAAGTATTGCGCCAAATAACAGTTACATCAAACCAGATTAAAACAAAAAGTTTATTACCTGATTCATTTTAATAATACGTCTATTTTTGACTAGACTCGCATACGCGACTAGCGCAATTTCTCAATTGTAACGTCATAGTTTTATGATTTAATAACAACAATTTAAAAATTATTAAATATAAATAAAAAACCGTAATTACATACCTACATACGGTCTCTATAAAAATGACTATAACAAAAAATAAAAGAAAAATTCTATAAAGAGTGCAACAAAAATATAATGACAGACATTTAAATATTTTATTATATAACGTTTTCTAACTTATTTTTTAATTTAGGTAATTAAAAATTAACTTTTTTATGTTTAATTACGCATAATCATGTAAATAAATATCGCGTGTGATCAAAATTCGCCGATTTTGCGAAAACAATTTGATTTTTTTAACATTGCGAGAAATGTATACAAAGAGTACCTACCTTCCCGGAACGGGATTAAAATGCTTTCATTTGAATGATTAAAACGTTTCGTATGGAAAAATTTTAATTGAGAATGGATGTGTAATACTAATATAAATATATTTTCATTTCGAGAATCTCGTATAAAGACTTATATTGTGGTGGTATATTATGGATGTACGATAATTCAAAACGAGTACTAAAACTATATGTTTTGAAAAGTTAGATATATTATACTGAAAAAAAGAAAGCGCAGAAAGATGTTTAAAAGATATTCTTGTATGATAAATAAATAAATAAGACAATACTCTCAACTGCACAACGGGTTTCCAACCTATACTTGAAAACCAACCTATACCAAAAAAATAAGCTTGTAATGGGTTTTTCAACATGAGCATTGTTTTCTAAAACAAAATAAAACAAAGACTTTAGATGAAGATGATTCAAATTTTTATTGTATTACGAAGAGAAAAGTTTGGCAATTATGAATGAAAAATGATATCTGGCAAATGTCCACCACGACCACGCTGACAGATGTCGATTCTTTCATCAAAGTTTTTAATCACTTTTTGGCAAAATGGCGGGTCTATTTCATTTATCACGTCACGGATTTTGAGTTTTAAGGCCGCGATCGATTCGATTGGCTCCGTATAGACTCTGTCCTTAACATAGCCCCACAAAAAATAATCCAGTGATGTTAAATCACACGATCTGGCTGGCCATTTAACAGCAGAATTTCGTGAAATTATGCGATCGGGAAATTTGGTTTGCAATAAATTGATCGTTTCGTTGTCTGTGTGACATGTGGCACCGTCTTGCTGAAACCACATGTTTGTGATATCGATGTCATCAATAATAGGCCAAAACTGAGATGTTAACATCTCGCGATAGCGTAATCCATTGACCGTTACCGCATTTCCAGCCTCATCTTCGAAAAAAAATGGCCCAATCACGCCTCCAGACCACATAGCGCACCATACAGTGACACGTTGAGCATGCAAAGGCTTCTCAATAATCGCTTTAGGATTTTCAGAAGCCCAAATGCGGCAATTTTGATTGTTGACGTACCCTGACAAGTGAAAATGGGCTTCGTCTGAAAAAATTATTGTTTCAGAAAAACCAGCGGGCTGTTCCTGAATGAATTGAACGAATCTACGGCGATGTGAATGGTCGGTCAGCTTCAATTCCTGCACCAGTTGAACCTTGTAAGGCTTCAAAGCCAAATCCTTACGCAAAATTCGCTATGTGGTGGTTTTGGATAACCCCAATTGTTGAGAACGTCGAGGAATTGACAAATTTGGATCTTCTTCAACACTGTGGCTCACGGCTGCGATGTTTTCGGTTGAACGACCCGGTCGAACACGTGATGGTGTTGGCACATTTTGTACCGAGCCTGTCGATTCAAATTTAGCGACCAAATTCTTAATAGCGGTCTCGGAAGGACGATTATGTTGTCCGAAAATACCACGAATTTTACGAAACGTAACTTTAACAGAACCACCATTTTCATATTGGATTTTAATTATTTTAATGCGAAATTGAATTCATTGTAGCAATTGCCAAAGTATCTACTACGAATAGGTCAAAAAACTAAATGTCAAAACTGTCATGTTGTTGATGTTGCCCCAATTGAAAAACAAAGTTCTTGTTGAAAAACCCATTACTTTAACTACATAACTTTTTTATTTGGACTCCCGCGTCGCTTAGTGAATAGAATTGAATATTTTCATTCAATTTAGATTATTACATAATACTTATTGTTTATATATATATATATATATATATATATATATATATATATATATATATATATATATATTTCAATTTGAATCCGCTATTCGAATACTGTCGTAAGTCGCTCTT